AAAAAAAAAAAAAAAAAAGAAAAAGAAGTTTAGAGATATTTGGGAAACTGCTTTCACCCAAGGCTAGAAGTTTTATCACATGTTACTTTTAAGAATAATATGAGATACTCTAATTTCAAATTAGACAAGATCTTATTTTTCTTCATGGAAAGCTATAATTTATGATTGTAACATATCCTATGAACTTTGTGAAGATATATATTTATAATTCCAGCTTGAGAAAAATTTAGTCTTTTATTGAATTATTTAAAAAGATGATTAGTCAGACACAAGATTGGTAATATAGATGACAGGTTGTGTTATGGATATAACACAAGCTTATTTCCCAATATGTGCCCAAATAAAGGCACACCTGAGTGGAAACAGACTTTAGGGATTATGTAGTTTAAAATTGCTACCTCATAAAAGTTTCCTCTAAACCGTATCTTTCCAATCCTCATCAGCATCTGATTAAATATTTTCTTGAAAGGTTGATCATTCATTTGTTGGGCAGTATTAATTTTAAAACATTTTGTGTGTGTGTGTGTGTGGTACAGAGATGAATTTTGGCTCCTCAGAGGTGATTTCCTGAGCTTTAATTTCACAGCTTAAGTCATCTCTGTAATAGCTTTCTACCTTTTCGATGGTGGCTACTATTTTCTACTAATCACCTAGATCAAAGCTCCTTATTTCTCAAACAACACTCCCATGAGTGTTTTAAGAAAAGGCCTGTTTAGGCAAGATGGTGGAGGAGTAGGAGACCTGGATTTTGTCTGGTCTCAGGAATTCAGCTGAATAGGGATCAAACCATTCTGAACACCTACAAACTCAACAGGAGATCGAAGATAAGAAGAGTAACAACACTCTGAACAGAAAAGCGACCACTTTCTGGAAGGTAGGACGTGTGGAGAAGTGAATCCGAGACGATAGTCGGGAGTATGGACGGCGGGGGAGGGGGCCTCCATCGGCCGCTTCTGGCAAGTGCTAGAGCCGCGGAGCACAAAATCGGACCTTTTAGAAGTCGGCTCCGCTGAGGGACGTCACTCCAGTGGCTAAGCTGGGGGTGGAAACCTTGCAGGACAGTGTGGTCTCAGGACCCTCGGGGTCACAGAAAGACCGGGGGTGCCTGAGTGCGGCAGAGCTCCCAGGTGTCGGAGCGGGGAAGCCGGCTGCAGAGATGGAGCTGAGGAGTGGGCTCTCAGCTCGGGGTGGCCATAAACTGTGATCCGCGGCCCAGTCGGGCCACTGCTCCTCCAGCAGGGACCCAATAAGCAGCAGAGCCGGGGAGACTCCCCTCCATCCCCCGGGAGGAGCGGTGCGGGAACGCACTGCAGGGATCTGCTGGGTTTGGAGACTCCACATGGGGTCGGATGCCAGAGATAGAAACGCTCGGTCACAGGCCGGGTGAGCACGGAGTGCGGCCGGAGACCGGGGGGATGGGAGTGACTGCTTCTCTCTGGGGGCGCACTGAGGAGCGGGGCCCCGAGTTCTCGGCTCCTCTGGGTGGAGATTGGGAGGCCGCCATTTTCGCTCTCGTCCTGCAAAGCTGTACCAAGAGCTTGCAGGGAACAAAGGCTCCCAAGAGCAAACCCGAGCTGCTTGCTTAGCCCGGACCGACAAGGGCGGGGCAATTCCGCCTCCGGCAAAGACATTTGGGAACCACGGCAACAGGCCCCTCCCCCAGAAGATCAGCACAAACAGCCAGCAAGCCAAGACCAAGTTTACCGATAAAGGAGAATGGGAGAACTCCAGCGCTAGGGGAATACTGCACGTAGAATTCATGGCTTTTTTTTACCATGATTCATTAGTTTTTGAAAGTTAATTTTTTTAACGTTTTTTTTTTTAATTTTTCTTTTTCCCTTTTCAACCAACACCTTATCAATCCCTTTTTGAAAAAAAAACATCTATTTTTCATTTTTAGAGTCATATTCTATCCCTTCAGAGTAG